ATATATATATATATTCACAGCATAAAAAAAATTATTAATAAATTTTGTATGTTATAGTAGATAAATTGTCTTATTTTTAAATTAGTTTAATTTAAATTTTTCATTTTACCTTTAATGCTATTTTTGTAATTGCGTAAATCTAATGGCATGTTTCAGATTACAAGTTTCAAAAGTTTTTTTTCTTCTTAAAGTTGGTATTTAAGAACCCCGCGCATAGCGAAAGTTTAGTGTACAAGACTGCCTTTTAAAAATGGTGTTTAGTCAAACTATAATTGAAATTAAGTCATGTAAATAGAGACGGAGGGGGATTATATTTGTATAAAAAATAATTAAATAGACTTGAGATACGTAATGGTCAAGTCTAATTGACTTTCAAAATTAATGATACATAGTCAAAAAGTTCAAGGCAACAAGCTAAGCAGTGCAGAGGTCAAGATTGTTGCCACTGTTTTTATTTCTTTTCTCCTTTAAACTCCTCTTTTCGACAATTTAATAATCATAGAATTATGCATATACGGGTTCGAGCTGTGGAATCAGCCACTAATACTTATATTTGGTTAGGTTGCCTACATTACATTCTTTTTAGGTTGCGGGCATTCCCTAAACCCTGCATGAACGTGAGACGCTTTGTGCTTCGGGCCGCCTTTTTTAGACTTGTGCATGTTGAAGCAATAAAATATATTGGCATGGCATGTACTAATATTTTCTTAGTCATTCTCCTTGAAGAATAACTTATTTTAAAAATTGTTTAAATGCAGATTCAATAGGGACCTAAGTTGGAGAACTAGGGTACAACTCCTCCCAATTCCTTGCAATAGCTCCAACAATTTCAAGATTACAACAGAAGCTGTCAAAGAAGCATATGAAAAAGCCCAACAATCAAATACCAAAATCAAAGGCTTAATCTTAACCAACCCTTCAAATCCATTAGGCACAACTTTAGACAAAGACACATTAAAAAATCTCTTAACCTTCACAAACAAACACAACATCCACCTTGTTAGCGACGAAATTTATGCAGCCACTGTCTATGATTCTCCAGAATTTGTCAGCATTGCTGAAATTATGGATGACGAAATGGATAAAATGGATCAGTGTTTTAATAAAGATTTGGTTCATATTGTCAATAGTCTTTCAAAAGACATGGGATTTCCAGGATTCAGAGTTGGAATTATTTATTCTTTTAACGATGTTGTGGTAAGTCGTGCTAGAAAAATGTCGAGTTTCGGTCTAGTGTCAACTCAGACACAACATTTACTAGCTACAATGTTGTCTGACGATGAATTCGTCGACAAATTTCTCGTTGAAAGTTCAAAGAGGTTGCGAAAAAGGCACAAAAAATTCACAACAGGACTTGAAGAAGTTGGAATAAATTGCTTAAAAGGAAATGCTGGACTTTACTGTTGGATGGATTTAAGACCACTGTTAAAAAAACCAACATTTGATTCTGAGATGGCATTATGGAAACTGATTATAAATGATGCGAAGCTTAATGTTTCACCTGGATCTTCTTTTAACTGTCCTGAGCCAGGTTGGTTTCGGGTTTGTTTCGCGAATATTGATGATCAAACGGTGGAGATTGCACTTGGAAAAATTCAAGTTTTAGTGGAAAATGGAGTGGAGAAGAAGCAACCATGGAAAAGGAACAATCTCGTGCTAAGGCCATCTCCAACCTTTATACTCAAAATGTCATCGAAATGGGAGACAACTTACTCCAACCATTCCTCCATTTTTTCTTCAAAAAAGAGAATATTCTTTTTTATATTTTTCTCTCTCTTCTATATTATATTATTATCTTTCATTTCAATTTTATTTTTTAATTTTCATTAAATAAATTCCATCTTTTATTTTCATTAGTTTGTAATTTCTATTAAAACAATTCCATAAAATTTAAATGAGATGTTGCACGTGATTTCACACCATCACAACGACCAAGTGGGGTGAAGAGAGCAAAAATGAAGAGAAAACCACAACAATCATTTGCTTCATTCACTCAGTACTATAATAATTTTGGTGTACCTGAAAAAGACATGTCTCGCTACTAAATTATTATGTTATGTAACATAGTTTCAATTTTAATGTATTTTAATTTAATGTATTTTCAATTTTAATGTATTTCAATTTAATGTGTTTTCAATTTTAATGTTTTTCCAATTTTAATGTATTTTCAATTTTCGCAACATCAAATATTTTATATTTGTACCTTTCATTTTTTGTAATGATTATATCTTTTTCATACAATTATAACTCATAATAAAATTAACTACCAATTTTACATAAAAAAATAGATGCACGATAATTAATTTTTTAAAATTATATGTCAAAGTTAAGATAAAAAATTAATTAGGTAAATATATTATATAAATATAATTAAGTATATATAAAAGATAAATTAAAAGATTAAATAATAAAAATAATAATATTTTAATGGGGAATAGTAAATGGTAAGATGAATAGTGTGTCCCCAAATTTGGGGAGACACTATTCACTCCCCATTTTGGGGACAAAAATGGGGGATTTTGAGGATAAGGTTAGAGTTGCTCTAAATTTGTCGAATAAAAAGTACGATGATATTGAGAGTATCATTTTAATACTTATTCTTTGAGACAGTTATAACGCTTATTGTCTCAGCTTATTCTTTGAGAAGAAGAAGAGGAAGAGGAATATGAAATTGTAGTAAGATGATATTGGGAGTATTCTTTTGTAATCAATACTTATAAGATATTATGATACTAATATGTTGTGTTTGTTTAAGAGAGAGTCTAGTAGGCTTTTCAAGGTGTGTAAAATGAGAGGGAAAATTTATATTAAGCCTTTAATAAATAATAGACGAAAGTATATAGTTGGTACCAAGCTTATAGCCAGTGTTTACACCAAACTATTGAATGAATAATATGTATTTCTATACACATTTTTATTTCTCCCTGAACCGTGATTAAATGATGCATATTCTTACTCTAATTTTAAACTAAGGTTGAATTGCTACCTAGTGCGAGTAAATATTTAAAAAAAAAAATTTAAATCTTTATTGCAAATATGAAAATATTCAGGGCATTAACACCAAAACTACCCAGAGTGCACTTTCAATATGGATTTATCAAACAACATAACTGAAAACTGCTAAGAAACAATTGCTGAAGTTGCTTTCTTGCTTTTCTCTCCCCTGCCTTCTACCTTTCCCTTTTGAATCCCTACTTTATCAGTTGTAGGTGAAAATACAATTACAGTTAAAAAATAAAATAAAATAAAATAAAATAAAATAAGATAAAGAAAATAAAATATCTTCAGATTGAGACGCGAATATCTCGTTCTCTTTAAGGAGATTCAGGCCCACTGCAGGAAAGTCTTCACTGGTCTAGCAGTAATCCTCTTGAGTTATCTCCCCCAGGATACAACAATCAGATCACGTCGTATGACTCAAACAAAAAGTGATATAATATTTATTTCCTCCATGAGTTAAAATTTCTCCAAGTTCACAAATATCAATGTGAACTTATTCTAACAATTTAGTTTTTCTTTCAACTTGAAAATGAGGCCTTGTAGTTATTTTAGCTTTACTACAAGCCTCATATTTTTTAAAATTCTTTTTAATTATTGGAATTAATCCTAAACTACTCATGATTCCCACATAACGATTAATAATATGGCACAAACGAGCATGCCAAATATTAGTAGAAGAAAGCATATAAACAGGACTAGAAGAAGTTTTTATCATCTCAACATTCAACTTGAACATCCCATCACATGTTACCCCTTACCCACAAAAATACCCTTTTTCACTACATATTGATCGCTCTCAATAATTTGTTTTAAACTTGCCTTGTTAAAAAGAAAACTAGTCATCAATTTTTTTCTCATTGAAGCAGTATAAAATACGTCTTTCAACGTTAATACTTTTCCTGAAGTAAACTTCAACTCGACCTCTCCCTTTCCAAGTACCTGGGTTGTGTGAGAATCACCAAGCATGATGGTTTTGGGTTCCTCAAATGGAGTATACACTTTAAACCAATCTCTATCATAGCAAACATGACGGTTTGCTCCAGAATCAGCCCACCATCCATCAATATTTTCTACCATGTTAATATCTGTTATCACCGCCACAAGTGGCTCTTCGGTAACGTTTGCCTGTGGTGTAGGATCACGTTTCCGAAATTTGCAAAATCGAGCAATATGCACACTCTTGCCACAGACAAAGCATGGTTTCATAATTTGAACTTGTTGATTCTGTGCTTGGTTGTTTGCACCATTATTCTTTTTGGGAGGTCTACCATAATTTTTCTTAAAAGTCTTTTTCTTCGGCTTCAAAGAAGTATTTTTGTGAGTTTGAGGAGTAATATTATTTGAAGTAATTAAATTTACCTTTGTTGTGACAGGTTGTAGAGTGCTCTCTTCCGATTGTATAAGTGCATCTTGGCCTCTTGCCTCTTCTTTCATGAGAATCCGCATTATCAACGTCTCAAGTGAAGTTTTTTTTTATTTGTGGCGCATAGTTTTTTGAAATTCCCTCCATGAAGGTGGTAGTTTATCTATTATACCACAAACAATAAGATTGTCTCCAATTTTAATATCCTCGAACCGGAGCTCTCCAACGATCATTATGAAGTCTTGAGCTTGGTCTACTACATATTTGTTGTCCACCATTTGAAAACGAAAAAATCTACTAACAGCATATTTTTTCACACCTGCCTCGTCGGTATCATACTTAATCTACAATGCTTTCCAAATTTTTTTTGCAGTAGAGTAAGTTCTATCATAATAATCATACAATTATCAGATAGACAATTAAAAAGATAATACCGACACTTGTATGAATCATCGTTGTATTTTTTATTTTTTTCTTGAAAGGCAATTAGGTCATCATCATTCATGAAGGAGTTGTCTACTTTGCTTGGATTCTTCTTAGTTAAAACATAAGAAACATTGAGAAGACTCAAATAAAAAAGTACTTTACCCTTCCATCTCTTGAAATGAGTACCGTTGAAACAGAATGGCTTGTTTAGATCTCTCATTTTGATATCCGCGGATTTTTCAACTGTAGCTATAATGAATCTCCTTAAAATTGTTGGTGAAAATATAATTACAGTTGAAAAATAAAATGAAGAAAATAAAATATCTCCAGGCTGAGGCGCAGATATCTCGCTCTCTTTAAAGAGATTCAAGCCCACTACAGTAAAGTCTTCACTGGTCCAGCAGTAATCCTCTTGACTTGTCCCCCCCTCCCCCCAGGATACAACAGCCCGATCACGTCGTATGACTCGAACAAACTCTGGACAAGTTGTTGGGTCCAAAACTCTACCAAGATGAACAGCTTCCTTCAACAAAAAATAAAAACTCTCTTCTTCTTCTTTTTTCACAACTTTAACCTCACTTTTTGAAACACTCTACAATTATTATTTTCATCACACATTAGGGAAGAATGATTTCTATTTATAGGTATAGGAATTCTTACTTGAATTAAATTGGAAGAAAGTGGGTAATAAGTTATGAAATCATGAAGAACATGTGATAATTAGTGTGTAATTAGTGGTAGAACATAGGAGAAGAGTTACAAAAGAGTTATGGTCATTTTCTACATCATGCGTGAGTAGTGGGAGTTATATCCATTTTCTACATCACTTAGTGTGAGTTATGGCATATGTTATTTTAATATTAAAATGCTAAAATACTAACACCTCCTCAAAAGAAGAGATTGAGTTTCTTCTTTTAGAACTATTCAATCAAAATGGTAAAATAACTAGATTGCTAAAATTTAACCCCTAAACACTGTATAAAAAATGGATTCTCTAAATCTTTGATGGAAACTTTACAGGTGGTAATCTAGAAGCTCCTGCAATACAGCTAACATCTCCTTGAGACTGAGAACTACTTAATTTCATGTCTTACTTGTATCTCTTGAAGGATGGTGCTCTCTCATTTTTGTCCTGCTGAGAAAATAACCAAATAAACTTCACTGGTGTAGCACTAATCGTTTTAAAACAGTTTCATAAAGATATAATCAAGTAGATACTTCAAACAATCATGGAATAATAGAGTTGCAGCAACACTGCTACTATAACTTCGATTGTGCTTTCATTTGCGAGTTGTGTCATGTATGTAAGATACATGTCATGGAAGAAGTTAAGTTTGCTTATCAAATGTAAAAGATATATGCTTAGCAAATGTGTTAGAGAAAACAAGATCATTGAAATAACAAACTATACATTACCTTTACCAGGTAAAATTAACACAGGAGGGAACTAGGAAAAATAGAACTAAACCGATCACTTTCACTAGTATCATCAAAATCCCATTCCATAGACAAGTGAAGAATATTACTCCATCAACAAGTAGATACATAAGAGCTAGCCCTTTTGCAAGAAAAAAAAAACTCATCACTAAACTAATCCCCATAGCATAGAAAAGGTTGCCCATCTGTAACGTTATTACCCACCAACGGTCACATAAACCCTCTCTTTGGAGTATTCAATTTGTATTACATTTGTCCTTTACCTTTTACATTTGTCCTTCATTTAGTACTCTATATGATGAAATAAATCATTGACTAGTGGACAAAAAATAATAATCTTTCATATTATCCACTAAAATGAACTTTCAAGAAATTGGTCATAAGATTCATATTATCCACTTTAAAAATAAATAAACAATGAAGTTAACTTTTACAGAGTCAAATTGGGTACTCCCAAAGTATGATAGATTAAGAATTCTCCCAAAATTGATCATATTCAAGAGACATAGATAATATGAATATCCATATTATCAGTCAGTTAACCCATTTTTTATTCATATTAGTTACTGATCGAATCGGATATTTTATCTGTTTTTGTATTATTCGTTTTCAACCCGCCCATGTCTAATCCGACCTGCCCGTTTATCACCCCTAATCATTAGGGCTGGACATATATCGGGTATAACTGATAGCCCGAACCGATAACATGCTATTGGGTTATCGATATCGGGTTATTGGGTAAATAGTTCGATAATGGTTTAATGTTATTTGACTATTAGGTTATCAGTTCGGGTCTCGGTTTACCCAATTTTATTAACGGTTTGACTGATAGCCCAATAAGCTTTAACAAAATTATAATCGTACCCACTAAGTATATAAAGCCACTTTATGGCTTCATTCTCTCATGCTCTCAATTCTCTCGACAATTACTCTTCATCTTCAGACATTGATCCTTAGAGTAAGTTTTAAACTTTTCTGAATGTCTCATCTTAATTCTTCAGTTAAGATATTTATTTTTTAACTTTAAAGAACTAATTGCTCAGATCTTCAGTTTTCCTGTATGTTTCTTTTGTTGCATTGATTCTTTAGCAATTTACATTATTATGATTTTATTTTTTTCTGTGTATTATGCCCGCCCGCATTGAGATAGTTAATAAGATAAGATTGTTGAATGTCTTATTTCTTACTCCTACTAATTTATAACTTTGAAAATTGAGATCATTCATTGAGATTTTCGAATGAAAGAAAGTTTTTTTTTCTAAAGGTGAAATTTAATCCCTCTTTTCTTAAGAGCAAAAATTCAATTCTTTTTTCTTGACAATATGATCACAATTTCTATAATAAAAATATAAAAATTTTGGATGTTTTTTATTCTTAACCGAACCGATAAGGATTGATAACCGACTAATCGAAACCGATAACTAATTTCTTATCGGTTCGATTATCAATTTAATATATTTATAAACCGATAACCGATAACATTCAAAAACGAACATGTCTATGTCCGCATCATGACTTTGAAGATTCATGTGGGACGGTAGCTACCGGAATAGGCCCCTTCCTCAAAATTCATTTCACGTTGCTATTAAAAATTGAAGTCACCGGCCTAAACAATTTTCATGAATTTGGAAAACTTTATGGGATCAATAATTTGTGACCAAAAGCTTAGATACTACCTTAACCAATTATTTTTTTAAAAAAATATTAATTCTGGGACGTGTTGCAAAGCGAGACAATTTCGAAATGTTCGAGAGTTGACCATGAGAGATTAAAATTAAGACAATTGTCATGCTAGTTTTACGTCTGAACTATTTGACTTTATCCGTTCATTTTTAATTGTCTACTTTTAACTTTGAACTCGTTCTAAAAATATGAAGTATATATTTTACTATTTTACCTATAATAATGATAATATTTCAAAAAAAATAAAAAATAATTTGGGAATAATTAGCTAATGATAAAGGTAAAACAGGAAAAAAAAATATCTTTCTCTTAATTTGCTAAAATGAATATCTAAAAATAAAAATAAATCTTTAACATGTGCAAGTAAAAATGAACCAAGGGAGTATGTCTTATGGCTGAGTTAATTTACCTAGGAAATGGTCCAAAATTGCTATGTGAATATGCAAAATGGTCAAACTTTGTCCCCTATTGTAAGTTTGAGTCAAATGAATCCAAGTCATTAGCTAAAGCCTAAAGAGCTCATATATGCCCTTATTCTAAGACGCAACATTGCTGGGTTCTAATTAAACTTCAAATATTGTTATTAGCACGGGCTCATCGAGTTTTACTTCTGGAATTTGAAATTACATAACAATGGCTATTTTTCAATTACAAGACTAAAAAATGACTAGCGTGCATTGTGGGTCTTGCACGATACATATTCGAATTAATCGAGTCCGAAAGCAAGTACCGAGACCGGGTATAAAATAAAATAAAAAGAACGAGTCTATTCTATTTTTTCATCTGGTCTTTGATACCCGCTTGGGGACCTTTTTGACTTTTGGAATAGCAAATTCCGTAGGAACATTTGCATGCGCTGAGAGTCTAATCTTTTACATTCTTTACCCAAATAGCCGGTTATATTAATTGTTTTACTTTTTCTAGACATATAAATAGATTATACATTAATTATATATAATTGTACACATACAATACATAAATTATGCATATTTTATACATTCATCGACTATTTTTAGTTTAAGTTATTGGGTGGACGGCTATTTGGTTAAATCTTCTTTTTTTACCTACGTTCATACTATTGGTAGATCTTTTACTGGGACTTTATCTCCTAAAAATTTCTCGTCCTTTTTGGGGCTGTACTTAGTAAGTACTAAAAAGTAATAAGAGGATAAAGAATGGATTCCTTTTTAAATGAATTCCTTTTAGTCATAAAAGGTAAATTTAAAAAGCTGCCATCAAAATTATTCCAGAAATCTACATAGTTAAATTTAAATAGAGTTTAAAAATAATATTAATGGGTAATTATCATTTCCCTAGGAAATCTTAAACCTTCTATTTCAACAATGTGATACATGGAAGTAAAGCTTAAACACACTCCTAATATTTTTACCACATTTACACTTGTAACTATAATCAGACCTCTCTATAATAGTATTCCTATATAATTAACAATATTTTACTATTAAAACCAAGCTTTTTCGGAAGCAATTTTCATGTTATGTTATAATATATGTTTTATATAACAACACTTCGTTATAACATCCAAAAATATTCGAAACAAACGAGTCTGTTATAGAAAGGTTTGACTGTATTACTTAAATCAAAAGTGAAGACAGGTGAAAGATGTTACATTCCAATTTCCAAGTACGTTGTATGCGAGTTCCTTTGACTCAATAAATTTCACGGTATGATCCTTGGGTTAAGTCATATTGAGCCAAAAAGAAAATGCGCGTACCATAAAAATTTATATTTATTTTATATGTCAATTTACTTTCTCCTTTTCAACATGAAATTGGAATAAAATTTAATATACATCCCTTCTTCGAAATCTCTGTCAATCCGGAAGTTTTATCAGTAATTCTTCTTGACCCACCCTCTGTCAAAAAAGTCACGAAGGAAGAAGATAGACATTTTCATGACATGTTTGTCTCAAAAGATAATTAGTACTACACCCACCTCTGTGTAACAGATTCATTTGTTCTGAATATTTTTGAATGTTATAACAAAGTGTTGTTATAGAGAATATATATATTATAATATAACATTAAAATTGGTTCTGAAATTTTTTTAGATTTTATAGTGAAATGTTATTATAAAAGAATATTTTTATATAGAGGTTTAAATGTATTAACATAATATTTAAACCGCCAATAAAAAAGCTATCGGTACGACTATGATGAATAAGGAATCACATCACTCTCTCCTCTTCTTTCTTTCATTTCTTTCTGACCTCACTCACTTTAAAAGATTAAAGAATAATAATTAGAATATTTTGTTGCGTAGGGTGTATATGCAACAATATGTGATCAAAATCTTCCTTTTACGTTTTTTCCAACTAGGTGTCGGCCATCCAGTATTCGAATTTGACCCGATTAAATTTAAATTTACATTAGAAAGTCTCATATTATGGGATAAATTAAACACTTTCTAATAAGGATGTTGACTCCATATACATGACTTGAACTCGAAACATTTAATTAAAGATGAAAGATTATACTACTCCACGACAACCCGACAAAATCTTCCTTTACTAATACTATTATCCTTTTCGATCCTTTCTCTACTACATATATGTTAATATCAAAGCAAAATCCATGTTAAGATATTTTTAAGTTCCACCCATGAATATTGAGTCAATTATGGGGTGGCTGTTGACTCAGACATTACGTAGTCAGACCCAGAATTAAACCCTACAAAGGACTTGGACCCACCTTGTCATGTTGTCTTCCAATAAATCCATTCTCTTTTTGTCTTCTAAATATTAATTCGTTGTCCAACACACGCTTGCAATTTGTTTAGTACTTGAGTGAAAATGTGTTTATTATTAACTATTCTAATTCCAACTAATGACCCAATTTTTCTTAAAATGTCAGTATCAACATCCCCTCACCCTTTTAGAGACGAGATCCTTCTTTTACGAAATAAAGTTATTATTTATAACAAGACTAGTACATACTGATATTGACTTATATGTATGCATGTATAGAGATTTGTCTTAATCAATAAAGAATTATAACAACGATTAGACATGTCTTTCTGTTTGTTTAAAAGAGCAGACGCATTAGCCTCTATTTTCCAATTGTTTTTAGACCATAGGCATATATTATTGCACGCAGTCAAAAGTGCGTTCATTTTTCTGTGCTATGTTCCTTAGAAATGACGAGAGAAACACGGAAACAAAGTAAAGGAGAAAAATTGGGAGACGAGTCTTGAAAAAAGACCTAAATTTCTCAAAGGAAAACTAGTTGGTATGAACGTAGATAGAAATCATAGACTAGACTCACCAACCCATCTTATTAGCAAGCATAAAAATATTCCTATAACTTTTGTTAATCCAAAAGTCAAAGAAGTCTATTAATTCCTCAATGTCCTCTTATAGTTGTAGCCAGTGCCAGAGCCATCCTTGTCCTAAGGGTCAAAGAATTGACACCTTTTCCCTAGAAATTTACACTTATTTTTTATGTATCTACATTATATGTTAAATCCCAGGAGAGATATGATTAGAAATGATGATGTTCGATTTAAGGTGGGATTGACTCCCGTGGAGGATAAGATGTGAGAAACAAAACTGAGATGGTACGGGCACGTGAAGAGAAGGTGTATAGAGGCTCCGGTGAGAAAGTGCGAGAGGTTGGCCATGGTGGGGCTGAGAAGAGGTAGATGTAGGCCTAAGCAGTCTTGGGGAGATGCAATTAGGCAGGACATGATGCAACTTCAGCTCACTAAGTGCATGACCCTAGGAGGACCTGGAGATTGAGAATTAGGGTAGAAGGTTAGTCTATAGGTGTGCGTGCCTCCTTTTCATGTCGGTTGCATTAGTATTAGTCTTGTATGTATGTATCTTCTTATCCGCAAATTCCTTTTACTATTTATTGGCTCGTTTGCTTCGCCTATCTCTATATCACCTACCTCGTTGTTGTTACCAATTGTTATCTCTGCTTCTTTTTCTTTTCTTTTTTTTGGAGTCGGCATTATATCGGAAACAATATCTCTACCTTCACAAGTTATATATGCAATCAAACTAATTAATCATTTTGGCAAAATCCTGTACGTGTTGCATTCATCGACCTCGTTAATTTAACAAAAAATATCCTCAAAATGTTTTAATTCCATGAGGATTATTTTGGCCGGTGAATGCAATTACTAGTAATAGCAAAGAATCTTGAATTCATGATTAATCATATGAACTTGGAGCTTCCCACGTTGCTAGACACTCGAAAACTCATTAGTCAATCACAAAGTCCAAACATCACAGAAAACAGGAGAAAAACAACATAATTTTCCACAAGAAGCAATAGTCGGTTTTGCACTATGTTACAAGTTATATCCTAATTTTGGATATGAATTCAAATACCGACAAAAAGTCACAAGACAACTTCCTTATTAATTTCATTCTTTTACGTAATCTTGACGTCGTATACAATAGGGGAGCCAGTGTCAAAACATAAAAAACAAAATACACCACAAAGTGAAGGAATTCAACTTATAGTAAATATACATAAAATTTTATCTAACAATACAACGTAATTTTACGGCGATGAGGTATCGATACACCTCTTGATTGAATGTGGCTCCGCCACTGGTAGTATATATTACTCACATTCCCACATTGTCATCCTCATTCCTAATTAGCTATAAGTCCACTCAGAGGCGGAGCCGGGATTTAAAATTTATAGGTTCGGGATTTTAAATTCTTTAAGTTATTATGTTATAAATTAATAATTTATACATGTTCAATGTATTTCTTAAGACAAATATATGATTTGCACCAAAGCCACCGGATTCGGCCGAACCCGTAGCTCCTATTCTCCCTCCGCCCCTGAGTCCACTATCTATAAAACTACTTGTACTATTCTATTTTTTTTATAACCGTAGCATCTCGATGCGCCTTGACTAATTTCATGGTGTACCTGCTACTTACCACAAGCACAGATAATTCTGTTCATCAAGGCCTAGACAGATAGGAAGAAATCGTTTGTGCTTTTCCCTCCGTTGAAATTTAAAGCTAAAACCTCATGGTTCTCAATCTACTTTATTGACCATTAGGTCATAGTCAATTTGGACCTTTTCCTTACTGGAAAAAGGAAATTATAATTTTAAAGCTCATACTATTGAGAAACCAAGACTAATCATACATGCATGCAATAATGGGAAACTTCTCCCACATTAGTGAGAGATATTAGCCTAACCAAAAACTAGAGCAAGCAGCCCATGATACACGTCTATTGAAATGAAAAATTAAAAGCACTAATTAACTAGAAATTCAGATATTTAAATACAGATTTAAAAGGAACCCTTTATTTCAGACGTAACCAATAACGATTGATTTGACTGAGGTACCCACTCATCAAGTTTTTTGAAATAAGTCATAGATTTTGTTTTCATTCTTGTCTTTGGGCTTTCTATTTTCAAACCTTTTGAACGTTGAAACATATGTTTCGAATTTTGTAATACTACTTAATTAGCTTTATTTTCCATACGTACGTTACTTGCCAAAATTTAACATTTCATTAATTCCCCTTCTCTATAAATATATCCCTCACTTCCCTCATTCTTTTCCATGCACTACTGCAGAAAGCTAGCATTTCTGTACACAAACTGATCATCATTTTTCCAGTTTATTGAAATTCAGTAAAGATATGGATTCTGAGAGTGGGAATTTCAACTCAGTGTTTTTGTCTAAGCTAGCTATTAGTGAAGAACATGGCGAAAATTCGCCATATTTTGATGGATGGAAAGCATACGATAACGATCCTTTCCACCTTGTGAAAAATCCCAATGGTGTTATCCAAATGGGCCTTGCTGAAAATCAGGTTTAATGTTTTATATTTTCTTAGTTCTATAATTTGCTACATCTATTTCAATTTATGTGAACTTATTTGAGCATGCACGCATTAATTAATTTTGTGAAAAAGATGATAGAAAATTCTTCTAAACTTGTTTTTTTTTTGGCAGCTTTCTTTTGACTTGATAGAAGAGTGGATTAAGAGAAATCCAAAAGCTTCCATTTGCACAACTGAAGGAATCAAATCTTTTAGGAACATTGCTAACTTCCAAGATTATCATGGCTTGCCAGAATTCAGAAGTGTATGTGTCACTCTTTATTGTACATATGTACACATTATATATAATGGTACATATAAATAATTATTCTTGCTTACATTATGGTTGGTTGTCTACATCATACCCAAGAACGACCATTTCCCGGATTCTGCGTGAATGCAGATGCCTTGTGCACCGGGGTTGTCCTTTTTATAAATAATTATTCTTGACATGTGCCTGGGGCGGAGCTAGAACACGACCTACGGGTTCGGCCGAATCCAGTAGCTTTTGTCCATACTATATGTTTGTCTTAAGAAATTCATCGAATATGTATAATTTATTAACTTAGAACCTAATAACTTAAACGGATTAGATTCTCGAACCCATAAACTTCAAATCCTGACCCGCTTCTGCATGTACCTCAAACATATTTGATGGTAATATTGTTTTTGACATGTCTAAAAATGATTGTTTTGACGTTATGGTTTTGATAGAAGGGGAAAATAAGAAGTAATGAGTTATGTGTATGTAATTTATTTCAGGCAATTGCGAAGTTTATGGAAAAAACAAGAAGGGGTAGAGTTAAGTTTGATACAGAGCGTGTAGTAATGGCTGGTGGAGCTACTGGAGCTAACGAGACTCTTATATTTTGTTTGGCTGATCCAGGCGATGCATTTTTAGTCCCCTCGCCTTATTACCCTGGGTATGTATGTATACATGTATTGGCTTATATATACGTAAAGAGGGTATCATATTAGCATGTTATAGCAGATAAATTATTTTATTTTTTAAATTAGTTTTACTTTAACTTTTCATTTTACATTTAATGACATACTATTATGGTCATGTAAATCAAATAAAAGAATACAAATTTCAAAAACTTTATTTTTTTCTTAAAGTTGGTGTTTAGTCAAACTAAGCTCTATCAATTGAAACATAGGGAGTACTAGTACACACACATATTTCCATTTAGTGGAATCAGCTTGTTGGCTAAGTTGGATATATATTACATCTTGCACTCATACTACTATATCTTAAATAATTATTTTTTTTTAGAAATAAAGGAATTTTATTACAAATGAACATATGTACCGTACAAACTAAATCGAACCTGAATATAGATCCAGTTTCAGCAATTCTGCATTCATTACCTCAACTATCTATCACATATAAAGAGACTCACTATTACATTCCTAAGTATAGTAGTTGTAAGTCTGTACTATATCTAAATAATTAAATAGACTAGAGATACGTAATGGTCAAATCTTTTTGACTTTCAGAATTAATGGGAAAGATACAGTCAAAAAGTTCAAAGCAATAAGCTAACCAGTGCAGAGGTCAAGATTTCTGCTGCTGTTTTTATATTCTCTTTACTCCTCTAAACTCCTCTTTTCGATAATTTAATAATCATAGACTTCTGCCTGCAGAAGCTATAAAATATATATAGGCATGTATTAATTAATCTTCGATCTTACGGGAGCCTTGGAGCAACAATCAAGTTTGTGTCCGTAGGTCACGGGTTCGAGTCGTGCACTGATGCTTGAATCAGGATAGGCTGCATCACATTCCCTTGGGGTGCGATTCTTCCTCGGACCTTGCGTGAAGATAGAATACTTTATGCACCGGGCGGCCCTTCTAGTCATGTTTTTAATCTTCTCTTATTCATTTGTCTTAAGTTGAATAACGTGTTTTAATAATTGTTCAAATTCGCAGATTCAATAGGGACCTAAGGTGGAGAACTGGGGTACAACTCCTCCCAATTCCTTGCTATAGCTCCAACAATTTCAAGATTACTACAGAAGCTGTCAAAGAAACATATGAAAAAGCCCAACAATCAAATATCAAAGTCAAAGGCTTAATCTTAACCAATCCTTCAAATCCATTAGGCACAACTTTAGACAAAGACACACTAAAAAACCTCTTAACATTCACAAACAAACACAACATCCACTTAGTTTGCGACGAAATCTACGCAGCCACTGTCTTTGATTCTCCAGAATTCGTCAGCATTGCTGAAATTATCAACGACGAAATGGATAAAATGGATGAATGTATTAATAAAGATTTGGTTCATATAGTGTATAGTCTTTCAAAAGACATGGGATTTCCAGGATTCAGAGTTGGAATTATCTATTCTTTCAACAATGATGTGGTAAGTTGTGCTAGAAAAATGTCGAGTTTTAGTCTTGTTACAACTCAGACACAACATTTACTAGCTACTATGTTGTCTGACGATGAATTCGTCGACAAATTTCTCGTTGAAAGTTCAAAGAGGTTGCGAAAAAGGCACAAAAAATTCACAACAGGACTTGAAGAAGTTGGAATAAATTGCTTAAAAGGAAATGCTGGACTTTACTGTTGGATGGATTTAAGGCCACTGTTGAAAAAACCAACATTTGATTCTGAAATGATATTATGGAAATTGATTATAAATGATGTGAAGCTTAATGTTTCACCTGGATCTTCTTTTAACTGTCCTGAACCAGGTTGGTTTCGGGTTTGTTTCGCAAATATTGATGATCAAACGGTGGAGATTGCACTTGGAAGAATTCAAATGTTAGTGGAAAATGGAGCAAAGAACAAGCAGCAATGGAAAAGGAACAATCTACGGCTAAGTTTCTCGAATAGAAAGTACGATGAAAATGTAATGTCGTCAAGAATGAATATGAATATGATGTCTCCTCATTCCCCTATTAATATTCCTAAGTCACCACTTGTTCGAGCTAGGACTTAGCATCTCCTTACTTTTATACTTTATAGTAGCACTTATTGAAAGGATTGCATATTCTTTTGTAATCAATATAAGATATTATGATACTAATATGTTGTGTTTGTTTAAGAGATAGTCTAGTAGGCTTTTCAAGGTGTAAATGAGAAATTGATGTAAATTGAGAGGGAAAGTTTATATTAAGCCTTTAATAAATAATACAAGAAAGCATATAGTTGGTTCCAAGCATATAGCCAGTGTTTATACCAATCTATTAAATGAATAATATGTATTTCTATACACATTTATTTCCCCTCTGATCCGCGATTAAATTATGCATATTCTTACTTTAATTTTAAACTAAGGTTGAATTGCTTAATTTGACATAGACACCTAATGCGAGTAAGTATTTACTACAAAGAAAACTCCTTATTGCAAATATGAAACCATTCGGGCATTAACATCAAATACACCATACACTTAAGTATTAAACTACAAAAATGAAGTGCACGCTTGCATAAAGAATTGTTTCACTTTTTTCAAAACTACAAAGGGTGCACTTTCAATATGGATTGATCAAGCAACATAACTGAAAACTGCAAAGAAACAATTGCTGAAGTTGTTTTCTTGCTTTCCTCTCCCCGGCCTGCTACCTTTCCCTTTTGAATCCCTACTTTCACGCTCAAAAGAAGACATTGAGTTTCTTCTTTTCGAACTATTCAATCAAATGGTAGTATAACTAGATTGCTAAAATTTAACCCCTAAACACTGTATAAAAAATGGACTCTCTAAATCTTTGATGGAAACTTTACAGGTGGTAATCTAGAAGCTTCTTCAATACAGCTAACATCTATTTGCAAGCATCCTTGAAACTGAGAACTACTTGATTTCATGTCATACTTGTATCTCTTGAATGATCGCAAACTCTCATTTTTGTCCTGCTGAGAAAATAAACAAATAAACTTTCACCTTTGTAGCATTAGTGTTTTTAAAACAGTTTCATAAAGATATAATCAAGTAGATACTTCAAACAATCATGGAATAATAGAGTTGCAGCAACACTGCTACTATAACTTCGATTGTGCTTTCATTTGCGAGCTGTGTCATGTATGTAAGATACATGTCATGGAAGAAGTTAAGTTTGCTTAGCAAATGTAACAGAAAGGTAGGAGCAGTAACTGAACATGTATCATTTATAAGCAAATAAAGGGTGTTAAGAGCTACCAATGATCCCGGATTCATTGATCCCAGAACTTTGATCCAACCGCCTCTACCATCAGCTCCTACAGCAATTAAATCAACAGCAGTCACACCTGATCCTTGAAGTCCTCAAGACAGTGATCCAGATCCCTTTTCCTTTAGTTTCTTGCACCATTTTCCCAAGTGCCAGTAAGTCCCATCAGGACCTAATAATCCACCAGAAAAGCAGCTGTCTCCTGGGATTTTTCACTCAGTGTCAGAGGAAACAAGTACTTATTAAGAGCACTATTTGATGAGTGAATAAGATCATTTGATTGAAGTAAATACATCATCCTAACAACAGATGAAAGCACTTTAACATCAAGATAAGACAGATGGAAACCTGGTTGGGCAAGCATAACTGGTGCAGAAGTCTCTTTCCTGATGCGAAATGAGGGCTGATGCTGTGTAACGTCATCTAGAGGCGGAAGATCAGTATCATCATCAAGAATAATAACAGGGGAATTCCTTGAACCTGAGATTCCATCCTTATTTTCTGATCCCTGCACTTGACTTCCACCAGTTATAATATCTTCTGCCGTGTTTTGTATACTCTTTTCCTTAGACTTGTACTTTCTTTTTCTCCTTGGTCTAGATAAATCATCGCATGAGCCAGTGACCATGCATAAATCTACTTCTGTCGCAGTAGGTGCCTTATTCTGATTCTCATATGAACATCTGTCAACTTTGGGTTCTTTGCTTCCTTGATACAACTCTAAGTTTTTCTTGGCAACTCTCAAAGTTCTCAAATTTTCATTATCTTTTTCTTTTCCTTCAAGTGCCGTCTCAAGTTCTTGGACCCTGGTCTATAAATAGCCGCACACTGAAGAATCTTCAAAGCTCAAGTTGTAATAAACCATATTTCATTTAGGAAATCCAACACTTACCTTCAACTTATTTATCTTTTCTTTAGCCTTCTCAAGTTTCCTAAGAGAACGAGCCTCTCGTCTGCCATGAGTGTCACACTTGGTCATTAGTTCTTTGTAACTCCTGCCAAACAAATGCAATAAAGTTATCCATCAAACTTAAGGCTAATGTATGAATGTTGCTTCTGTGCTTGATAAAACGAGATTAAAAAAAAGATCGCTGATGTGCTTGAGAAAACAAGTCATTGCAAAGGACAAACTATCCATTACCTTTACCCGGTAAAAATACCACACAAGGGAATTAGGAAAAAGATCTGATAGAAGGAAAAGGATTTCTTTTGTAGAACCGAACCTAACATTTTCACAAGTATTACTCAATCAAGCGTCGCTTTTAGTGGAGTTGCTAAGCTCATCAAGCTTATGTTACTTTATCTACATGGCCTATCCTTGATATCAGATCAGAAAGTAACTTTCCCGAGATCAAAAAGAAACTCTGTAATATATCAAAGTTTGTACAATTCAGATTTCCCACGGCAATGAACTTCCAAGGAACATATCCACAACATGTATAAAAAGCAAGAAATGTCTAAAGCAAAAGAAGAGCATTAGTAGATATGGAGTTTCATCCAGTAGTGCTATAAACTCAAACTTCCTAAATAAAAGTGATTCTAACAGTAAAAGCTTTATTGTTTCGGGTGACCAATGATTTTTCAAGACATCAATTGTCTCTTTGCTATTGGGATCATCTCCTAATGAAGCGAGTTTCAAGACCTCTTCTTCCTCCAAGTTAAAATTGCAGATTCTGATGTAATAAACCATGAATGGAAAGTGAAAAAGAACTATCGTAAATCTAATATAAGGATGCAATTGCTTGTTTCCCTCAATATGATTATTGACTTACAACTTGAGTGCTGCAAGCTCCTTATCTAGAGCCATATTTCCATCTTTTAGCCTTATGCACTCCAAAGTTGATCGATCTAACTCCTGCAGAACAAATTTTGCCAGAATGTAGTAACTAATAACTTAAATCTTTTTCCACCAAGAAGACATTATATACAAGAATATATGACTAGATGCACTAGCAAAACATCAAGAGGAGTATGTACCTTGGATTTAAGATGTAGCAACTGCTGAATGGCTGCCTCCTGTTTCACAGTTTCATTCTTTAGAGTCACTTCCATTTTCAACTCTTCTTTGCATGTGAACAGCTGAAAGAAAAAAGTTGCATTATTGAGAAAATTTGTCGAGATGAAAATGCGATAACATGAATTCTTAAGTAGATCGAGTTTGAAGCAAATATGCTCATATAAATATCTATAACTTTTGTTAATGGAAGTAACAGATGCTTATCAACTTCATCAGAGCCATACGTATTCTACCTAAGAACGTGTATTTTGGTTCTGAGCAAAACTGTGGCTCTTTCCCATCATTAGCCAAACAATAAACTGAAACCTACATCTGCCGAAGATGATTTTTTCATTCACCACATTTAATCGGTAGACTTAGAACTCTTCATCGTACTCGCGAAATTTTACATATATCAAATTCATGTCATTTCATTTAGTCAGCTATGGGCAAAGAAACTTGTAAAAAAGTTGACTTTTCTCATCTCCTACCGCCCGAGTTCTGGCCGAAAAAATCCCTGACTGTACCAAAAATTTAAGGTACATCCTTAAACGACTACAGTAAACGAAAAACCTCCTTGAAGTATCCAAAACTTAGCAAGTTTTAACCGTCCGCCAGATTGTTAAAAAGACTAACAGATCCACCATGTGACTCCAGAGTTCTCTCATTTATAGAACAACAATAACTATGCCTCACTTCCAAACAAGTTGAGCGCAGGTATATGAATTCTCATTGACGACGTTACTCCGGTTAAACTCATCTCATGCCAGTAGTACATGTCAGCTGGGATTGAACCATTGACCTCTCTTATAGTAAGGGCAATTTCACGAAATGGAGCAAATAGGACAAATAGAATAAGAATGATGCAATTTCATAGTATTCAACAGCTACATATTCTGTAAATTCACAGAAGCCAAAGAAATAGCAAATGAACCATTTACCTCTGCATTGATTTCTTTGAGATCTTTCAGCTGTTTTTCCAAAGTAGAAGTCAACTGTAAAACTTTCCCCTCCAACATTTTGACCTCACTTCTCAGTTCCCGTGGATCCTCTTCGTGATCACGAGGTTTCTTGGTCAGACTAGTATCATTTGGATCACCAACTGATTGGAAATAAAGCCTATTCGCATTCTGTTCTGAACAAGCCTGTTTGCAGACAGGACAATTCTTCTTTTTTCCATTTGTGCAGTATTCAAACCATTGCTGAAGACTGATTTTTGCAACCACAACATATCATAAACAAAATCAACTAAATAATTATCAGATAAGGAAAATAACTATCTCTATCAGATACAAGCACATTGATAGAAATGTTACAGACTTGGCCAGCAACAACTTAAAGTAGTAGTCTTTTTTCCCACAAGTAAACATAAAGGTTCTGTTTTTTTATAAGGAAAATGTTTGACCTTAGGAAATCATTTCCTTGATCGTTAGTTTACTATAAAAGCAACATATAGTAATTGTACAAGGTGTAGAATGTGGTATAGGATAATGGTCCGGACGGATCTAGCATACATTGCTTTGGCTCGAACCCTATATATGTGTTAAAAAAAACCACTAACAAACTATATATTTCTAACCCAGTAAATCAAATGTGCTGTGGTAGAATCCCGTACTCTAACCCATAATATTCAAACCTCGAAGCCGCCTCTAATAATTTGGTGATATTTTTTTAGTATAAGCGGTTAACAGCAATGCACAAATGTTGATTAAAACAAATCATACAATGTAAGAGTTGATATATTTGTAAAGTAAAATGAGTGTAGCTCAAAACAAACTTTTCCCTTTAAAGGAAAAC